CCCAGGCACTCTTAAAACACCTTTTCCTGGGATGTGGAAGTGTGGGAAGGTAAAGGCAGAGAGACTAACATAAGGGCTCTTAGGTAGTTTTTTTTGGTTTTACTGTATACTTGATGAAGGTTGATTTGCTTATTTGAGATTAATGCTATCTGCATTTTGTTAAAGCATTCAGCTTTTCCAAGGGCCTTTTCCCACTGATTTAAATTCAGAGTCTTGAAGTATTTATGGAAAAATCAAGGATGAGATTTTTTTTCTTAAGTCATTTGTGCCTAACTACATGAGCAGCTTCAGCACGTAGCTTTGCCTCAATTTCTGTGCTGTTCAGACTGAGAAAATAATTCAGACTAAAACAGAGCAAACTAGAGCTTGAATTTTGCATTGCACTGCATGAGTAATTCCTCAGTAATTGCTAGCCACACCATCTTATTTCTCCAGTAAGTAAGTGCAAAATAGCTTAGGATAAGCTCTATTGTTCCTATTAGTATGGAAGACAAGTGATAGTTACTGCACAACAACTTGTGCTGGTATTTCTTACCTTATATTGTGTGCTTGTTTTGTCTGCTCCTATTCAAGCACTGGAAGCACTTTATGGGCAGGAGGCAATAATGAAGCAGTATGGGAACAGCTGCACCAAATCTGCTGAAAAACTCTCCATATGCTGTTTTAACTGTGAGAATCAGCAGTCCAGAACAATTATTCTAACATTATCTAAGTTCATCTAATTTTAAGATGAAAGCCTGCCGTCTGATGGATGCCCTTAATCAAACTGAAAGATTTGATACCAAGTTTTCTTAGGGTTAAAACGAGCCTTCGTTCACTGGTTAAAAATTAGCAAATAAAGGGCTACAAAAAAGCATCATCTTTCAGATGGGTCCACAATAAATAAAAGGCTGCCAATTTCATTAGTCATATATAAGGTTGTCTTTTAGCTTGACACAATTTTAAAACAAGGTTGGGAAAGAGCAAACACAATCTTGTTATTAAGTAGAAACTGTATTGTTTCATCACCCATAGCCATACTGCAGTGTGCTTTGGGCGTGCTATTGATGGGCTAAGAATCTATATGAAAAAGAATGGTTTGTAACACTGCTACTCTTTGTCTGATGAAAAGATAGTATTTTCTTGCTGAATATACATTTTTAAAATGATGGAAGCAATAAGTCTGACTTATCTTACATAAGCCATTAATTTTTACTCAGTGTAAACAAACCCTTGAAATAAAATAAGAATTCTCCTGTCCAAATAATGAGTTCTACATGTTTAAAGGCAAATAAAAAAATCCAATAAACACTAGAGGGAAATAATCAAAGGCATTTTTACTATTACGAGAACTACACTTTCTCTACGTTTTTGTCAATGCACATATTTCATAAAAAAGTAGAATAACACTGCTTGACAATACCCAATAAAATTGTACACCTGTCAAGATGACAACATGCCTGTACTTCTTTTTAGTTTTTGGAAGCATTGTTCATTGCGATTAAGCTAACATTTAAAGTTTCTTCAAATACTGTGCAGCATGTATGAAAATACGTTTTAATTTTTAGACCTTCAAGCAATAGCTAGACTTTATACCTAGTCCCACTAAAAATTACTGTTTTCAGAGAACTAAATGAAGCATGAAGCGATTTTTTTTACCTAGCTTTATAATATAAGCTCTACCAAGCTACTGATAATTGCACCAAGGCTTACTGACATCTTAAGTAATAAAAAAAAAAAATCAAATAAGGACGCCAAGTAGCTGCGTGGGGAAGGAGGAATACGTACAAGCAACCGCGTCGCGCCGCGTTGCCTCTGCGGCTACAGTGAATGGAGCAGGTTAATTTTGGTTCTGGCTGCCGGATACAAAAAAAAAAAATCAAATAAGGACGCCAAGTAGCTGCGTGGGGAAGGAGGAATACGTACAAGCAACCGCGTCGCGCCGCGTTGCCTCTGCGGCTACAGTGAATGGAGCAGGTTAATTTTGGTTCTGGCTGCCGGATACTGCTGCTCCCATCACGTCTCCC